AACGTAAATAAAATGTGACTTATCTTCTTTCAAATATGTCCAATTATTATAAGTGTAAAATATTTAATGCTACTTAATAAACTGCATAAAGTTTACTTTATTCTCAAGCTTATTAATAATTATGTTAGTTAAGCTTTGTTTAATAATAATGCATTCTATTTATGGATCTATATTTTATTTTTAGGATGGCGTTACAAAAGTGAAGTTCAGGCATAGATAATATTTTTAATTGAATTCAGTTCCCATTTGCTCATAGGTGCTTAATTTTTTTCATTAATGGTCCTTAATTTCCGTGTGCAGAAATGTGTTCGAACCCTGTATAAAAATACTCAAGGACAGTGGAACAATTTTTCTAATCTTAAAAGAAAACTATTTACATTAAACAAATTTTGCAAAATAAATTTTATTAAGTTGTTGTATAAGACTAATTATCAATTTAAATTTAATTAAAACTAGAATATAAGTATAATCTCTCATTCATCTGATTCATTGGGAGATATCTGTCCTATTTCTTATAGCATGGTGGACTTGTGAAAACAGCATATGAAAGGCAGGTTGCTGTGCGACACTTTTTGCTCTCATATTAGCTTAGGGCCACCATTTTACATTCTGAGACACATTATATGTAACACATATATCTATTCCTAATTTGTTTTCATTATAGAAACTGATTATTTCTAGTTTCTGTTTTTCACAGTGCAAAGATCAATAGCTTAGTCATATTGCAATGATGATACAAGAAGGACATTTTTGTTTTTTCTTAGAATGTAGGACACCAAAACATTACCATCACTACTGAAGCCAAAATTACTGGAGTGTTGTGGTCTGGCTTTGTCCCAAATAAAAGTCAAAATTTTCTTCGATGTTGTGTTCTTCACTTTCCTCTTGTTCTGTCTCTGATCCTTCTTCACATTTTTCTGCACTATCTTTTGAATCAATGTAGCTTTTGACATTAAAATCTTCATCTTTGACATCTTCATCTGATCTCTCCAATAAAGGGTGAATTTTTTCAAGGTCTTAAGGGTTTCTCAAATTAAACTGTATTTATTCATTTTTTGACATTTTGAAGACTGAGTCAAACGAATATTTATAATGTCGTTACGAAAATGTTTTTGTCAAATTTTGTAATAAGCAGTATTTTAAATTATTGAAACATTGTACAATTCATGGCATGATCAGGTGCAATGTGCTTGAAAAACCAGAGCTTAAAAACATACTCAGTTTTGTAAATAATCATAAAATGATTTATTGTATGAAATTGCTAACCAAAAAAATGTGATACTGTATTAAAAAATCACAATTAATTTCCATTTATGTAGCTTTCCGGAGTATCACCTGGCACTGCATTAGAAATATTATTCCTGTATTCAGTTTCCAAATCGATAGGCAGACCTCCTGTAAATAAAAATAGTCTTGTTACTGTAACTGTTAATAATACCTAACAATGCAAAGAAGTATTCTGCTCTGAGTCTTTCTCAAATAGCTTTTGTTAAGCTCCTTAAGAATATGTATGTAAGCACAAGAACAATAACAAAGGAAAAGCACAATGCATTGCTTATTTGTTATTGCACTCTAAAAGTATTTTTAGCAGTTTAATGAAGACCATAAAAAACTTTCTTAGGTTTTGGGTAAATTGGGGTTAGGTTTCTTATATTTTCATTATTGATATTAAGGAGTTAAAAAAAGTTTCTGGATCATTCACAGAATCAAAATTTATTGATACAGTTAATTTTGCATTAAAACTTTATCAAAATTATTTAAAAATTTTTTATAAGAATGTTTTGAAATCTTTTACATAAATCTTGTTACTGCATCCTCAGAAATGCCATATTTTTTGTTTTTTAAAGGTAAAATGTATCTTAATAAAGATCAATGAATGATATATTTCTAGTATATCCTACCACCATATATATAATATATATTTGACCCAAATGTTTGGTTCTAACTTGTAAAAATAAAATGACACCTTTATATATCCTTATGTATTTTATCTTCATCAAATGATCATGAACACCTGATGGTGAATGTGCACTGTTTCTGCAATCTCTTGTGCTGTGGAATGAGGGTTTACTTGATCAATGCTTTTATTTTTTTGTCATTGACTTCAAGTCGATGACAATAAAATAAATGAGGAGCATTGTAAAGATCAAAATCACCAATGCAGAATTTCGTGAGCCATTGTTGGCTCTGACATTCACGTAAAGAATTGTCATCATAACTTAGTTTAACTTTTCACAAACTCAGTATGTGGTCTTCCGTTTATGGAAGTAAAGCAGTAAAGTACAGTTTGAGAAAAGCAGTAAAGTTTATTTTTCAAATTCTTCATATTGTGAAATCTCTGAAACGTAACCAAATCACTCAATTTATTTAAGAAGGAAACTAGGGACAGCAATAATATCAATGCCAATGGCTGCAATATTTCCAAAAATTAGCTAATGCTATCTGCTGCAAAAATGCATCATGATCTGTCTGACATCATTATGCATAATTTAAAATGTACTTTTAATTCTTATTATTTCATAATTTTTTTAATTGAACTGAAATAGATTAGAATTTCTATACTTATTTGTTAAGAACCTAAAATATACTACTAGCTCATTTTTCAAAAATAACTATAATTTATTTTTTTATTGAGATTTTTATATTTCTCTTTTAAATTTTGCTTTAAAGTAAAACTGCAATATATGATTTAATAGGATGATATTTATAATAATATTAAGTTTTAAGAATAAAGGCCAAAATAAATATTTGTCTTCTTAATTTAAGCAGAAAATGCTTTGCAATGTAATTCAAGCAAATGACTATACCATATGATTCAGGTAATTTTTCTAATTTAATTCCAAAACTATTTTTCATTGTATATGTAGTTAAATGAGATTCCTTCCATAGAATTATTTTCAGTTCATGGCTGAAATATTGTGGTGGTGTTCAAATACATGAGTTGGTTCATTCCATCTCCATACACTGGGAAATGTATAATCTAATAGTTATGGATAAGAATAGTCTTTTTTTCTCTCCCCATTTTTTCTTGTAGACAGCAAGCATCTAAAATAGTAGATAAAAGGATAGAAATTAAACATCTTGAGTCATTTAAATTCATTTTTTAATCCATTCTTACATGGCGTTAAAAAGAGGGAGAGAAATAAACTGTTTTTGCATAAAACATAAAAAATATTACATAAAATATGAAATAATATTTAGACTTTTTTATATACATTATAATATGAATTTCTTAGTAATGTAAAATGAGCATATTTTTACCTCCCGCTAACAATGAAACTGGAATACATAGATCAGAGGGCTGGATAGTGAGTTTTTATTAAATAAACATAAAATTAGACACAGAAAAAACACAATACTATTTTTTAAATGATATATGTCTGCCTGGTGTGTATGTGTGTGGAAGAGTTGACTAGATTTTGGGTAAAAGAACTGATACTTTACTTGAAGCCCATAACAGTTTTTAATGAGGAACATAGTCTAAAACTTTTCAGTTTTAGTATTTAAGACTTTTATGTCAATGAGAAAAATATATTAGGTTTTGTCTAAAATTAATGGGCTGTAAGTTATATTTTATTTGAAGCTCTGAACTGATTTTCAGGAAAAAATATGATATAATTTAAAATTCATCACATTTGGTATTAAGAATTCGTATATGCATATACAATCATGATTGAAAAACAACATATTAGAATTTGACTATATATGATAAATCGGAAGTAGTACTTTACGTAGAACTTTTAAAAATTTTTCATGGAAAAATATAGGATCATTATAAGAAGAGTTTAATTCAAAATAATGCAGTGAATATTAAAGCTATTCCTAATATATCTAGGCATAATATTTTTTTCATATCAAGCTGTAGAAGAGAAGGGTTTTAATAACAGCGTTTACTTTGCAGAACTTCAAAACTCTTGTAGTGCAGGCATGTTACCAAAAAATGAACTTATTATTCTGTTGCACTGTTGATGATGGCATGGCACAAGAGCAAATAGCAAATTCAAAAACACCTATTGCTTTACTTCTTACTGAACCCAAAATGCATGGTAGTCACTGTTCAGCTCTAATTCCAAAAACTAATGAGCATTTTTATTGATACCTAAATATCCTGAGGATATATGTGCAGATAAAAATGAATTTATATTTGTTGATACTATAGAAATGACATAGATGAGCAGTACATCATGGTTGCTATTTAAAGTATGTGATTGGCATCTGCTGGCCACATCAGATTTTTTGTTATTATTTAATGTAATTTTTGGAATTATAGTTTTAATTGACAAATGATATTTTTTTCTTTTAACAAACATACCTGCCATCTTGCCATTTTCGGCTAATATTTGGCACGTATTGTTTGATAAATTAGCTGATTTCACTAAAGCAAAATACAATGCTGAGAGGCACAGCAACAATTTCTTTTTTTCAGGAGCAGTTGTTAATGAGGACAAGCTTTTATTTCATTTGTGTTCATGTTATTTTTCAATACGACAAAGAACAGTGTTTTTTAAAATTTACATTACATATTCATTAAAAATTGTTTTTCAATAGTATTGAAAAAAAATTAATAAAGCAAAATTTAATAAACCTTTTAAAAATAATGCAATCTTGTATGAAATATGGGTATTTATTGAATCAAAAAATACTAAATTTTAATCTTATTAGGAAAAAGTTCAGTGATATTGGTATTAGTTTCTAAATAAACCATAAAACAATTGAAATAGGTTTTAATTTTTATTGGATTCATCTGCTGGAAGATAAAATTTTATCATGCCTATCAAATACAGGACTCTGCTAATGCATTATGCTTAAAATTTTTATGCTTGCCTCCTTTACAGAATGTATTTAATGTGCATTTATTGTTTAGGTGTGTTTTCATTTTTAAAATTGGCATTCCTATTTAATTTACAGCCTTATTGGAAAGCTTATTGTCTGATGGGTAAGGTAGTTTTATTCTTAATGCTATTCAAAAAGTAATTTGTCTTCTGTAATGTCAATTACAGCCAGGAGAAAAGCTGCAGCTAAACGAAGGAAATTAAATAATATGCATAGTAGGAGTACTGAAGAAGAGGAGGATTTGGATGATGAAGGTATTTGATGAAAAAGATTATAATGATCGTAATTTACTATCCTGTAATGTTGCTTAGAATTAATGTTTGCATGTGTTAGTGTAATTCACCACATTTAATTCTCTTTAGAAGTCATATGCATATGTGCATCACAAATGGCTATGTTACCACTTTCTATATATTTTTACTTATATGCATGCCTTTACACTTTTGGTATTATAAATTAATGTGTCCTCCCATATTTGCATGTGTATGCTTGTGGTGTTTTTTAATTAAATTTTAACATTTGTATTATATGAAAATATTAATATTATTTCTACTTGTGAATTAGTTAAGCTATTATTTATTTTTCATACACTGATATTGGTTAGTTATTGCATGAAAAATTTAGATGTTAACCTTCTTATTACCATAAATGTCTTTTAATTGTAATACTTAAGATGAATCATTATTATCTTGTTTTTAATAATTTAAATATTTCTCATTCTAGATAATGGTTATTAAAATGTTTGATTATTTATTTTCAAGTTTAATTCCTCCCCCTAAATGTGTTTTAGTTATTAGGTTAATTCAAATCATATATATATATATTTAAACATTCATGTGAACCTAAATGTCTTAATATAGTATTAAATTTAAAAATATGTATCTTTAGTATTAACTGTAATTGTATTTCAAAAATTACAAGTTATGTTACTGTTAAGCTTTAAGTTTGTAAGTCTTCAGTATTCAAATGTAAATTCTTTAGCTTTGTAATATAAAACAGCATTCCTTAAACTCCTCTCGATAAAGTCTATCTCATTTTTTCTGTTTATACATAAGCAGTTACATCAAATTACTTAAATGCTTGAAAATAGACTTGTAATAAGGAGGTTTATTATTGTATTCCTTTGCCCTAGAGGTAATGAATGAACTTGATAAAATAATCTAAACTATTTCAAATTAATCTTTGTATTATCATATTTCCAGAAAACAGGCAAAATATAACTATTTTATTTTCAGTAAAAAGGTATCATAACAATTTCTAAATTTTTTTCAGCTTTTTAAAAAAAGATTGCTTGATTTAATAGCTGTGAATGACTGGTTGGAAGTCCATAGTTCTAATTTAAGAAATAAATCAAATAAGTAAGGTTTTTAGACTGAAGGTAGTTTAGCAAGGTTTTGACAGCATGAATCATTTTAATAAAAGCATACAAAAACAAAATTTGTATGTGTACTCAATAGAAAAAATTGTCAATGGGAAAATTTTTTCCTTGCCAGATTAATCCCTACCTCCTCCCCCAAAAAGTCTAACTTCAATGTGATCAGAATTAATGTAAGTATTTTAATAAAGTTTTTTATGAATTTTATAGAAGTATTGCTTAACACAGCTTCTAAATTTTTTAATCCAAATTTTTAAATCAATATAAACTTTTGTCAATTAAGAAGTTACTTAGGATCTGAAAAGTATTAATATAGTTACAAAGGGTTCCAAATTTCTGTATTTGTAAAAATGTTAAAGTTTGAAATTTTATATAGATCAAAATTAACTTATCAACTGAACCTTAAAATCCTTATTTTTGCCATTTGTTTCATAACCATTAAACCAATGACGGTAAAAGATTTTAAGTTATGTAATTATGTTTAAAAAAATCAGGGCTAATTTTACATATTACACAACCAGTTCCCCACCCCCAGGTTTTTAATGTGATAAGAAATAGCTAATTAACTTCCCCCCCCCCTTTTTTTTTTTTTTTTTTTTGAAGAAGGCTTCTGAAAAATTTTAATTTTATATATTTTTGCTAAATGACTTATAGTAAAACTTTCAGAGTCTGGAAGCTTTGATTTGACTATACATGCATGTATGGATGTGGGTATGTGTGTGTGTGTGTGCTTGTGTATATAGATTGATGTAGATATAGATATAAGTTTTCATTTCTGTATTATATCTAATAGTATATATGTTTGTGTGCATGTTTGTTCATAATAACTTAGAAGAAACTTACAGAAGTGACCAAAATTCAATGATTTCCTTTTTAAATATGATGTGGGTTGTATTAATATTGAACCTCCAAAACTAATGTTAGCATCATAATTTTCTGTAGCATACAGGACATACCCTAAAGATAATAATGGCATTCAAAAATAAATGGAAGAATTATTACATACAGAATTATGACATAAAACTATCATCTATCTCCTATGTTGTTCATGTAACTTTAGCCTATGAAAAAGATGACAATGCAAAAACTAGATTATAGGAAACTTAACCAAATTATTAAAACAATTTCCAAACCCATCACTGCTAAAATCTTAATTTCATTATAATTAAATTAAAAGATTATCTAAAACAATTCTATCTCCCTCTGCTGAGAAATACAATAACTTCATTTTTTTAAAACTAACATCAATAACATAATCTTGCATTTCTTATGCTAACTTCTATTATACTAGCGTGCAGTCTGCTTGCTGTCTTTATATATATATATATGTGTGTGTATGAGGACAAGATTTCTTGCCACTGTGTATTTGTTATTAAGTATTTTGCCCTTATTTTCTTTATTGATCTAAAGAATAGGAAAGCAACAATGAAAACAAAATATTGCATATATTTAGATCATAACTAATATGTAAATACATAATTCCATAGTTTGTTCCGAAAAGAGTTTTATTACTTAGAAAGTTAAATTAGAATCATGCTCATATGACTAGCTGTTCAAGATATATTTAGTTATGCAATCTTTTTGAAACTCTTTCTTTGTATATATGTATATTTATATAATTTTTTATTTGGCCCTTTACGGGTATTCATTACTTAATTTTGTAGATGTATGAATAGGTTTATTATATGATAAATAGTGAAACTTCAATCTATTATCTCATGATAATTCCTTTTCTCTGTTTATTGAATGAAGTTCATGTATGTAGATATTATATATATATGTGTGTGCTGCATTTGAACTCTTGACTGTGTAAAAATTTTAGAATGTCATATAAAATTAAATTTTTCTGACATGAAATAATTTATCATTCATGAATAAAATGTGTTAGCAATTAATACTTTAAATATGTTTCTAAACTATTTCTGTATTGAAACTGAATCAGAACAAAGGCATTTTTAAATTGAAAGTAAGCTCATTTATTATAATAAAGCACTTTTTATTTCTATTTATCCATTTTTGTTTTTTGCATATTTAAAATAAATGAATGTCTGTACTGATGTAACAGAATAGTAACATTGTGTTTTACTGCCATTTCAATGTTAAATGGCATTCAAGGCCATTAAAAAAGTTCATTGTGAGACTACAGAGTATCCTGATTCTTATGGTATTCATGCCAGCAACTGCCAGCAATATTTTTGAACAATGTTTAAAGTGAAATTAATAGTATGCATGAATGTATATTTTCAAAGGAAAAATGTTTGTCATTTAGTAAAATGAAAAATTAGCAGCTGTTAATTTTTAGGTACAAATTGCAAAAATAAGAAATATAACATGTAAAAGAATGATATTTATGTGTAAGATTATACATAAAAAAGGCTGTAGCTCAATCCCTGCAACATAATGGAATCGTTAACCTTTATTTTTAACAGTTTAATGCAGCATAAATATTTTATGAATATTTTCTTTATTTTTTTATTTTTTTTTTTTATGTTCAGATTAAAACTGTGAAACATGTATTTTGTGGTCGTTGATATAATGCTGGTCGTTGATAAATTTTAATACAATGGAATTAAAATTTTGCTTTGAGAAAAATAGTATGCTTCACAATTAAATGCTTGTATGGATGGAAATTAAAATTTTCCTGTGGATAGAACCAAATAAAAAAACTTGAAAACCTTTTTTTTTTTTTGCAGACATCAAATTCTAGTCATTTTCCTACAAATATATTCATATGCATAATTCAGTGGAATCAGTAAATTTATAAGCTTTTCAAAATATTAATGTTTGAGTTGCAGAATATTAAGGAGTAAATTTAGCTCGGAATTTTGTATTCAAAGCCTTCTGATTATAACTAATAAGAGAACTCTATAATGAGAATGTAGTCTACAAGAGTGTTCTTTGTTTACTAGTCCCTTTTAATATCAGATCAGATCACAAATAAAATTTCTTCCATACAGTTTTAATTCTAAACTTTAACAAATTTTATTGTCTGCATGTTAGATAACAAAATATTCATGCAAATAAGTTAATTAAATAATCCACCATCTAAATTTGTTAATTTTCATTATAAAAATTCATTTTTAATTAATTCATGTAGCTTTTTTTCAGAGACCAAATTTGAAAAGTTCATGTCTTTCCCCTTTTCTTGTGGGTGTAATATCAGTGTGTCCACCGTCATTCTGAGTGATGAGAGAGCTGAAAATTCAGTGGGTTCAGCCATTGCTGATAAATTGTTCCAAAGGAATTATCTGGCCCTTTGGTTGAAAAATTCTTTGGAAATGCACTTGTTTGCTGTATATTTTTTTAAATTAGATTCATATATTTTTCTTTAACAATGATATAAAAAATATTGAATTAGGAAACTAGGAATTAAACATCTTTAATATGTTTAGTGTGTTAATCCAAATGATTATAATAAATAAAGTTAATTATGCTTTGTCATAGATACATACTATAACTTTTAAACATCATTGGAATTTTTTCCACCGTAATAATTTAAAGTTCTTATTCACTAATCTTTTTCTGGAAATTTTTTGAAATTTTGGAATATCTCTTTTTTTTTTTTTTTTATCCTATATTGGTGTTTAAATTCTTTACAGGGAAAAAAAATTCTTCTTGAATAATTTGTATTAAAAAAAATTGTTCTTTTTATTTGTTTTGCTGAAATTATATCTCATAATAACTCGCGTGCTAGAAAAAACAGTGTGCTACGTTATTACCAAAATATTTTCATTGTATATTTAAATTTTTTGAAAGAATAGATTGAGTTTTAAGAAAGTTCTGTGGGTGACAGGTTAGTTGTTTCTATTTATAGTTTAAATTAAAATATATTTTCTTTTAAATTTATGAATCTTGTTTTGTAGCTTTTCCTAATATTCTTTACTTCCTTCAATAAGTCTGAAAAAAAAATAGATTGAAGTTTTGCTACGTAAAGTATTTTTTTATAAGTAATTTTAGCATTTTGTCTGTGTCTATATAATAATGATTTGTACATGAAATTACTAATCTCATTTTCTTCTTTTGCATATGCATCACTTCTGTTTTGCCCTCTGCTTGGCACTAGACCGCACAGCACCAACAATTGCAAAGTTTAAGCTGAAAGGTATAGGAATTAAATGTAGGGTATATCTCAAAAAAATGAAATAATAAGTTTGCAGTATAGTATATGTAATCTATCTATATTTCACATATTAGTTAATTTACATTAAAGAAATTGTAAATTATTACGTGATAAAAGAATATAATTTGAAGCTGATCATCTGTATAATTGATTTAGAATTTACTTCGGCATACTTTATAAGCCTATTCTTCACATGTAATAAATGCTTGCAATGATATGTAAAACCTTAGTGAATAAAATTTTGAATAATTATTTTTAGGAGTTGTTTTATTCTATGTTATAAGTTATCCATTTAGGCCAGCATTCTCAAAATTTTTCTCAAGTATGGACTGTTTTTATAAATTAGGTTGTTCTGCAAACCACCATATTCTTATCACTTTTGAAAGCAATTTTTTTAGCATATGTATATCAGCATACTTATATTTTTTAAAATACAGTTAACTAAAATTTGTTTAATTTTATGTTGCTAAAACTATTTAAGTTAACAGAAGAAAACTTATATTTGTTTTTTAATTAATCAAAACAATCAATAGTTTTTTAATTATTACTTCAGTTTGGATAATTTTTATCTTATTAGCTAAAAATTATATAAATACTGATACTCACATTAGCAAAATGAATAAGCCTGTCGTTTATTGCAAGTGCTTTAAATTCCTCTTTTTTTGCTGAGACTAGAATGAGGAGGCCATAGATAGAGTAACTGGTAAAATACTTTTTGTAAAATGTCATAGGAGATGATTGCCATGTATAATTTCCTATTCCCGAGATTTTCAGCTATAGTGTGGTATATGTAGTTAATTTGAAGTTTTTTCCCTTTTTCTTTTTGCAAATTTAGGACGACAAGGGCAGGCTTCAAGGACTATTTGTGGTCTGCAGACCATAGATTGAGAAATATTGATTTAGATCAATTAAAGAAGTAGGAAAATTGGACCCATAAATAAAATTTAGAATACAAAGTTTCCCTAAAATGTTGAATGACGAATTTATATATATTTCTTTTTTGTTGAATTTATTCAGAAGTGGCTGAGGCAATTTGTATACGTATGCATGTATGTATGTATATATAAATTTCAAACCAAAGAAGGGGGCAATATTTGAATTTATCATCATTAAAAAATACTCTGAATTTGCTGTTACTTTGTGATGCATTACAAATTCTTTTGAATATCATATAATGTTATGTCAGTGTTGAAAGTAATTTTTTATGATTTTTAATAATTCTAATTGGATATATTTTTAATAATGCATTTTAAAAAAATTTTTCCATAACATCACAAAATACTCAGTTTATCTAAATTTATTGGAATTTATTTTTCTAATAATTTTAATTGACAAACTTTTATGTCACATTTTTATCTGTATCAACATTTCAAATCAGTGACACAACAGTGCTGATTTTTCTCATTAAATACATTAAAAGGACTTTATGACACTTTATGACTTATTTCAGTGATATGCAAAATTGGTAATTCCTTCCCTATAGATCAATTTTAATCCTCTGAGTGGCACCGCTTTTTGAATCTGCTCATGAAGAACTGTATTTAAACTGCTTCTATTAGCTAAATTTGTATAATTATTTTAGTCTCAATTTTTCACAAACTTCTGTTCATTAAGATGATATTTACATCACTAAAAAAAGTAACAATATGAAATAATTTAAATTATAAAATAATATGTGCCAAGTAAGGAAAAAAATCTCACGATCAGATAAAAAGGCAGTCATGGTACTCATGGAGCAATATTTTTCCATTTAAAAATATTGTTTCGGAAGACTATACTTATAATACACTTATTAAATTTTAATTTGCAAGAAATTTTATTATGAAAAAGAAGCATATAAGTTTAAATTTAAAATTAATTGCAATACAAACTTTAATTCATGTTAATTTTGTTAAAAACTCTATGTTTTAAAGGGGATTGAGATCTCTCTTTTTCAAGGGGAGGGGGAACTTCACTTTCGATAAATATGCCATTTAAATAGATCAAGTAGGCTTTTTTAGCTCTTTTATAATTTTATGATTTTATTTGGTTTATTTAAATAGCATATTTTTTGTAAGCAGTGCAAAATGTTTTTGTTCCTCAAGAATGAGGGATCTGTGGTAATCTTCTTTGAAATTTACAAATTTTCCTATAAAATATTAGTCTGCCAAAGATTAAATTTAATCTTATTTTAAATATTGTATTCTTAAAGTTCAAATACTTTTGAAAGTTTGTCAAAAATTTTTGTTCCCCCCCCCATCTTTTGTAATTAAAATTTTGAAATGAGAAGCTGTAGTAAATGTGCATGCATTATTTATTAGAATGAGATTTTTAACAAATGAAGCAAGCATTTTCTTTTTCTAATTCTGTGTCACCTTTTCACTGCAGAATATGCTAACTGGTTGTGATATATCATTCTTCCATGCATGAATGTTTTTAAACACTTGCAATGGAAAAGTTATTTTAATCACTTGCACTATTCGGAAATTTAAATATAGTTCCCTGTTAACCTTTACTGTCATTTGATAATCCCTGTTCTGTATTTTACACTGTCATTATTTGCATGTTGAATTTATTAATATATATAATTCTCAGTGTACATTTTATTTTGTTTGTTTAACTGTACATTAGTGTCTATTTAGATCATCATAAATAATGTTTTTAAAAAATGTGGTTTGGAATTGTAGGCTCATCTATGAATGTTTTTATATACTTGATATTATTCTTTCTTTATTTCAACTAGCAATATATTAATATTGATGAACTACTTTGTAGTTACATTTTCACTTTATTTTTATTGACTTGATGTGTTAAATCATTAATATTTTTAAGAGATTCTTATGAATGCAATATGATAAAAATAGTTGCATAGTATTTTTTCTTTCTCCCCATCTTTCTTCTTCTTCTTAAGCTCTACAGCCTGCCCCTCTAAGTTTTCTCCATCTGACCCTATCTGGCACCACAACTTCCCATTGGTTTACCTCTATCAGTCTCAAATTCTTTTCCACATTTTCCACGCTGTTTTTGAGCAGGTTATCATTTTAGTAGAAAATGCATCATCATATCTATAAATCTGGCTTAGCCATCTAATACAGTATGCCTTTATAATTTTGACAATATCAGGTTCATTATGTTTCCTATAAATTTCATGGTTATATAATATTCTCTGTAGTTCATTTTGCCTCACCAGTCCAAAAATCATCTTTAGAATTTTTCTTTCAGATACCAGCAATAGATCTTCCTCTGTCTTGAAGTGTAAGTTGGTTTTTAAGTCCATAAAAACATCTGTTGATCATAGATATCCTGTTTCTAGTTTGCCATATAATTCATCAAGATATGCTTTTTTTTACTCTTATGTATTATTTTTTCTTCCCTTCTTTATTCTTTATATCTTTCCTTAACATCTGTAGTGAAATGCTTCAGAATCATTAGCTTATAAACCTCATTCTTCATGTCTGTTATCGCTGAGCACTCCCCATTAAACCATTGGTTACGTTTCTTCATAGAATACTCAGGTATTGTTTTCCTCAGCAGTTTAAGTTATGATTTGTTTAAGACTATGCTATGCATTCTCTGCTAACAAGCTTTCCTCATCAGTTGATATTTTATCACATAGTTCTTTTTTGTACTTCCTAAATATTTTGGCTTTTTTTAATTTTTCAGCATCAAGCCTTTTTGTGTTTCTGTTCTGACCTTTTGTTAAAGGACCTATTGGTTCTACAACCTAGTTTTACAATAACTAGAAAGAGTCCAAATTTGCTCTTCGGAACGTCCATATATCCAGAAGACTGCTTTTAAGTCTAGGATCTATGAGTACGTGGTCAATTTGATTTTGAGTTCTCTCATCAGGAGATCTTCAGGTGGCTTCATGTATATCTTTATGTTTAAATGTTGTGCTTTCAGTCATCATATTAGATGGGATGGCAAAGTCCACAAGTCTAAAATCAGTATTACTCATCTCATTGTGTAGACTGCGGGATCCAGTGAATACCCTCATGTTTTCATCTTTTCCAACCTATGCATTAAAATCTCCCATAATGAGCTTTACCTCATTTGAATGACATCCAGTATAAATCCTATCAAGAATATCATAGATTTCATTCTTCTCCTCCTCATCTTTTTCTTCTATGGAAACATGAGTACATATTAATTGAAATATTCTGTGCTTTACCCTTAATGCATATATTGCAAATTATTTCATTCACTGCTTTAAATTTAATAACTCTATCCCTAATTCGCTTACTAACAGTACTGAATTGATGTGTCTTTATATGGCAACTGTAATAGCAATTGCAGTTTCGTTTATCAATCACTTCTTGGCCAGTTCATCTCATTTCATGGATGGGCAGGACATCTAGCTTGTATTGGATGAAAGTGTCAATTAGCTTTTCCAGTGCTCCACTTCCATGTAAAGTTTGTACATTCCATGTTCCAAATTTCAGGTCCGATTTCATGCCAGGTCGTCAGAAATGTATCAGTCCAGAAAATTCTTTTTGAGGTTTCTGAATCGGTAGGGATTTTACTAGGTAGGGTGATTAATAGTCCTGCGCACAACCAGTGACCTGGAAGACCAGTCACTTGATATAATCCCCAAGGGCAGGATGGCCAGCTATACCCACGGATGCTGGTTACCGTTTTAGTCGCCTCTTACCTCTTACAACATGCATGAGCTACAATGGGCCTAGTCTTTTACACCCAGTCACCACACGAATACTTTTATTTTAAAAAATGAAAAAAAATTCCTTTTTTTTTCATGTGTTTAGTTTAATATATGAAGGTTTTTTTTTTTTTTTTTTTTTTTTTTTTCCATTAATATTACATACATGTGATAAGTAATTTTAGATTTTCAAAACCTAGAGGTATAGGATTTTCTTTTTTACTCTTATGTAATGTTATTTCTTCCGTATTCTTCTGTTTTTAGGCCATAATAAAAATAATTGTTGCGAGTTTATATTTATTCACCACAGAAATTGCATCGGACCTGTAATTAACTTTCAGGTGAATCTCTTTAGGTTTATATTAGAATCCTGGGAAACTAAAATAAAATTAATGAATTCAGTTTATATTTTTATCATAATAAATTTGATTTTTTAAATAATCCTTTATTTCCTATAACATGCATTATTAATGCATTACTTAAGTGCAATCTATAAAAAATAGGAACTAATTTTGGGGTATTTTCTTTCAGTTATGATTTAAAAATTTCATTGTGAACATATTTGTTTATTGCTTTGATGCTTCAAACAGGCATTGCAAGGTCTTCCTATTTGAAAACTCCCATCAAGGAAAAAGGAAAATGTAAAAAGTTTTGGAGAGCAGAGAAGAGACTTAGGTACTGAGTATTAAGATTTAAACCTCTTTTGAATTTGATTGGTTATGAAAGGTCAGCATTCTGAATATGTATTTTTTGAATATATTTTAAGGTTTCAAAAATAAATTATTAAATGATTCTAATCAAATTTTCAGTATGGCAAAAATGATAGTAATAAATAAATAAAATTAAAAGAAATTAAAGGCAAATTACTAAATGCACATTTTATCACGTTTCTTTTAAATAAATATGATATTCCTTCACAATTGCACTTATAAATTACTCTTATAAGCTTTATAAGTAATTTATAAATTTGTTTGTATCTGTATAAGAATCTTATATTTATCACTATCATTAAATCAGCACATTTATTATTTTAAATAAATACCAAACATTTTCCCAGTCACATCTGGCAAACCAAACTATTGCGTAGAAATTCTCCTTTAGTCTTATAAATCTGCACACCTGTCATTTTAAATATGTATCAAATCATTTTAGTCTTAATCGCAAACAAAATTTTTGTGTAGGAGAAATTTCTTATTTAATTGTTATAAAATCTGTGTTTATGTTTTTCTTTGCTATCATTTACATTTTCATTAAATGGATGAATTGAAATTGTTTTAAATGTGAAATATTATTTTTATGTACTTTAGCCTTATTTATTTCAGCATTTTTTTGGTAAATGTAAAAATCTTTATATAATATTTAATGTCATTTATAACTATAAAGCAATAATGTGCTTTATATTTATAAATTTATATGCCTCAAAGACAAAATTTTATCAAGCAAGGACAAATAATGAAAGCCCTAAAATTCTGTCTCAATAAATAAAAATGCTAACTTTTTAAAAAAATTTAATGTAGCAATATAGAGTAAATTGATATGAAACTTTAGGGGTATGAATTATCCTGAAGATTAATTATATTTTAAGTGAATTCTACTTATCTTGGAAACTGTGTCAGCCTAATGCATTAATAATAACTACTGAAAAGATCACTTCCCACAGCCTTTACTGGGATTAATTTCTTACTCGGAAAAATATTTACATGGCATATTTTATGTGGACATGAAACCTTTATGCATTGTTCCTTGACATGAAACCTTCTTGCATGACTTTTAGCTATCTGATAAGAATTGGTCCACACTTATCATCTAGTTATAAAATGCATGTTTAAAAACATTATTTACTGTTTTATTCTTTTTTAATTTTATAATATCTGCTATCTGCATTCATTAATTTAGGGCAGCATAAAAGATTTTAATAGATTGTTGTAATTCCTTTGTATTGGTTATAAGTACTACTTTAGTACCATAGTTCAAAAAATATAATAATTATAATTGAAATATCTTTCTGAGAATATCTGTGTGTACTGAAAAAATAAAACTGGGAAGTTTTCTAACAGATTTTTGTTGCTTAGATATTTGCCATCATTTACTCAGATAGTGTCTTTAATCAGATAGCTTTAATTAAAATAGATCATTTTAAGAACCTAAAACTACAATAGTAGGAGTAAAATTATATACAATACTTTCTTGTTATAATGCTGTTAGACATAGTGAAGTTGCTCTAGCATATTATGCAGGTGAAATTATACATAAAAAATATAGTCCAGGAATAACATAAAGCAATGATTTTTCTATTAAAAGCATGTTAAGTGTATTATAACATTGCATGATGATACATAATGTGATTTTGTGTCTGTATGCAAGCATACATATTATAGATATTTATTTTATATGCTATATATTCTGTTTTAAGTCATTATTAGTACTATTTGTCTGCTGCTTTTTACTCACTGATTGGGTAAATGGTTTTTAAGGATGATGCTATTAAATGCTCATGTATGCAACTTTTCATTATTTAATTATTCATAAAAAATTCCAGTGAAAAAAATCAAATATTTTTTTATAAATATTCACCCCTCTTAGGAAGTGCTTCATTTTTTATCGTAATATGGTCAGTCTTATATGACGAGTTTAATTTTGGTCTTACTCTCTGCATCTAGGAAGTTTACATCACAGTACTAATGTGAAAGCTATAGTCTACATAGCCATAACTACAAGGTAACCAAAAACGTTCTTGCCATTTCTGATATACTTCAAACGTAACTCACACAGTGACTGATTAAAGTGGATGCATCAAAGGCACTCGTTCGGAGTTGTTTGCTGTTTTAAAATGGGATTGTCAGCAACAGAATCAAGTTGCGAATTTAGCAGAATCAAGTTGCCCAATTTAGTAGAACCAAGTTGCCCAATTTGCCAGCCTTTGGGGATGATGCTGTTAACTAACAAACCGCTATGCAATGGTTCTAGAAGTTCAGGTCAGAGAATATGTCTCTTAGTGATGCACTACGCAGCGGTCAGCCACAAGCGTTGGACGATGAAGCCTCGAGAGCAGCCATAGAGAGTGACAGTAGCTAACCATGTGGTGAGCTTGCTGCACACTTCCAGGTATCTGATGAAATGGTCAGACTCCATTTGGATCGCATAGGAAAGGTTTACAAGTTCAGCAAGTGGGTACTCCATTCACTGTCCAATGTAAACAAGCAACAGCGTGTCACTGTCAGTTTGTCCTTGCTTACTCGGCACCGCAATGTATCCTTATTTGATCAATACTCACCAGCAATGAAAAATGGGTCCAGTATGACACACACAGGCAAGTTGTCACCACAGGACCCTGTGCCTCACACTGCGAGACTTTCTCTCCACCCACGCAAGATCATGCTCTGTATCTGGTGGACTAGTTGCCAAGTGGTGCACTAATGACCTCCTGTCAGTGGGCCAAACCATCACGGCAGGCCTGTACTCGCAGCAGTTCGAATGTGTGCATCAGGCACTGATGCATAAAGAACCATCATTGGTCTATTGTAAGGATGTACTCCTCCTCCATGACAATGCGAGGCCGCATGTAACTCATGAGTCCTGGGACACCATCCAGTAACATGATCCCATCCACCATACTCCCCAGACCTCGCACCAACAGACTACCAGCTTTTCCAATCTCTGGACAACCATCTTCGTGAGAAATCCTTCGACAACCAGCCAGACCTAGAAAAGGCCCTCACAGACTTCTTTGCGTCCAAGACTCCTCAATTTTATTGCAGTGGCATCACACAGCTAGCCACTCATTGGCAAAAGGCACTGGATGCCAATGGTGATTACTTTGAGGATTAACAGTGATTATTATTTGTTTTATGACTTTTCTTTCTGACTGTCCAAAATGGCAAGAACTTTTTTGGGTACCTTGTATTTGTATAAAAATCAGTTTTTAATTAATTTCATAATTTTAAGTAAATAGTATCCATATTTACCAAAGTAATTTATTTTATGTATAGTTAATGAATAACAATAAATTTAAGCATTTAGAAAAAAACATGCTATGATAAATCTTGATATTTAATAATTCTTTTTTCATTTTTCATCTTAATGTGCATATGTTTTTGTTAAACTCTTCATTTATTAAATGCAAATAAGAATTTTTGATATACATTTATGTATTACTATTTCCTAATTATTCTGCAGTAGTTTAAATTAACATCGCTCAAAAGAGTGTGTTATATTATTAAGGTTATTATGCAACATATTTTAAGGAAAATTAAACAACTGATTATAGATTTCTTTGACTTGAGGGGAACAGAAGGGGCACTTTAATTTACTTCTATTTTTTTACGTGAGTGATATATTTTGAGTTATATATGTATTTATTTTATTTATTTACTGTTTAATGCTTGGAATAAAAATGATTGTATACCAACATGTAGCATATTACAAATGTATATGAATCACACCAAATCAAACTAATAAATTGTACAAAAATGACATGTAATTATTCAAAATTTTATGAAAAGATGTAATATTTCATGTATTCCACTGAATTTTAGTAAGAACTTTTAAATGTTATATAATAAAATTATTAGTTTAAATAGTTACTATTGCAGAAATATAGGTTATCCCAAATCTTCAGGACTTTTCTGTTGAGAACATTTGAAAGAGTGAAAATCTTACTTAAATCTTTTGAAAATATTTTAAGCTTTAATAAGCTCCTGCTTGAGATTCTTATTAAAAATATAAATATAAAAAGAGTTTTTTTTATCAAATTTGTAGAAATGCATACATAAATAAAATTGGAAAAAACATTTTTGATAGAAATGTCAAGTAAACTTTCATTGCACCTGAATGCTGACTGGAAAAGATGTATTCATATTAATATTGTCATTATGAATTATTTACCATCTTTTCTGATTTTCTGAAGAATAATTTATCACTTATTTTGAACAAAGCTAAAACTTCTTTGAAAGTTAAGAAGATCTTTCAAAGAAGCATATATCAGTACATAAGAAAATTAACAATCTTATTTTTTTATCAGTAATTTCTAGCAAGTAGGTGCAGTTATTCCTCCAGTTGTATTTAGGTGTGATTACGGTTATTAAATTATTCCATTATAATTATGTTGCTTTTGAAAATAGTTTCTATACCACCTTAAATCCCTAAAAAAATTATACTATTAGACTTCAAGAAAATAATTTTGCATTATGCTTGAACTAATTATAACTTAAAAATTCTCAATCAGTTTTATTTAAGTACTTAAAAATTATAAATTCTGAAATCTCTCTCTCCTTTTATCCTTTTCTTTCTAAAGGCAGACTTGCTGCATAAATGTTTTTTATGTATTTATTTTCATTTTCATTAAACGTCCTGTATTTATTTTAATTCTAGTTTTTACTTGCTAATTTCTCTGAATTCCACTTGTTTATTTTTATTTATTTATTATTATTATTATTTTATTTATTTTATTCTTTTTTTTTTTTTTTTTTTTTTTTTTTTTTTTTTTTTTTTTTTTTTTTTTTTTAGCAATGCACACCATTTGGTTTTGCTTTTGGTTTTGAATTTTCCTTTTACCTTTGCCTACATAGATGACGAAAAACGAATTGAATAATTGAAGAGTTAGGTTTGGAGGCAACTTTCCCTTGATAAGTCTGTCTCCTGCCTGCTCAACAATTATTCACTTATGCATTCACAATTATGCATTTTTATAAATTTTTAGGATTAAAAAATTTATTGGAATTATATATTTATTCATAGATTTTGATACTTGCACTTGATTTACATATTCTCTCAGAATTTAAATGATATTTTAGATTAGTTTGCAACAATAATTAATCATTTATTTGTAATTCAATTTAATTTAAAATGTAATTTAAATTTGCTTTTTACGAACAGAGAATATTTTTTAAATTGTATTTATTTATTATATATATGAAAAAGTTAATTTCTTCAGAAATAGTATGTAAATGTTTAAAATTTAGTTTTAATGCCAAGGAAGAATATAGATTGTGTTAGAATTCAGTAAACAAAGTAGTTGCCTTCATAAAACAAACTTCCTTAATTTTTAAAGATGGAATTGGTTTTACGTAAAATCATTCCACCTAGATCGTTTTTTTTTTTTTTTTTTTTTTTTTTTTTTGTTTGTTTTGTTATCTTTGAACTTAGCCATGCAAAATTTATTCTGTATAAGAATTTAATTATATCTTTCTTACTTGTTTTTGAAATGTTTTTCATCATATGATTTGACATTCTGTAGATTAGCTTTTGAAATTATTTTCTGTTTTGTTATCACGTAAAAATAATTTACACACAATCAGTATATAAATCTGTTAACTAATGTTTACATGTTTTATTCTCAGGCATAGCTGCATTTGTTGAGGGGGGGGAGAAATCAAATTTTTCTTTAAACTAGAAATTAAGAAATACAAAATTTCCTTCTGAATTGCCACAGCATGTACCAAGTAATAGCTTTAAGTTTTGTCCATAAATGCATACAGCATCCCCAGAATATTGTTACATTATGCACATTTGTTATTAGTTCATAGTCTTTAATACCGCATTCTCTAAAAATGCCTTGAATATGTTAAGAGAAATTAAATCTAAAAGTTTATGAATTAAATAATACTAAAAGTTTACTGTAAAGCTTGTACTTCTGTTGTGTTTGCCTAAGTAAACTGATATAATTATCAATCTATCTTTTGGAAATAGGTTTAAAACAGCCTTGAATCAGTAATTCCACCTTTATCCATTTTACAAAAATTTGCATTTAATTAAAAGTGTCTTGTCATATGCAGTTTAATTTATTTTTACAATTTTCAGGTTTACAATTCGTCATATTTCTAAATCACAAGCATTTTATTGGGTTGTTATTGTCCTTGTCTTTTTAAATACTGCATGTGTAGCTGTAGAGCATCATCAGCAACCAGGGTGGCTGGATGAATTTTTATGTAAGTGTCAGATATGGAATGATTTTTGTTCTCTGTAATATTATATTTTCAAAAAAAAAAGATTTTTCATCTTTCTAAAGTTAAGTAGTTGTATTCTCTCAGAATGGAATATTTGCATACATATTTTATTTCTTTATTAATTGTAGTTACTGACCGGTTGAAAGAGCCAAAGTTGGAAGCAGTTTTGATGCTGTTGAAATAGTATTAGAGTTAAAACTAATATTCCTTCTTCAAATCCTAATCCTTTAATTCATCCTAGTAATCTCTACATATAATCTCTTAATAAAATGAAATTCAATGGGTTCACTGAAAGCATTGAAATCAATCTTGTTTATAATGATACCAGTATGAGTTTTCCCCATTATTTTGTCAAGTAATGCAGAAATCATCAGTCCCCTCCTCAGTTGCATTAACTGAAGCATAATTTAAGTTTTGATCATTTATTCAATGAGTATTACTAATCCAGTAGTCAAAAACAAAAAGAACAAATGAATATCTTGTAGTTACAACTGCTCTTCTGATTTTGAAATATTTTGACATGCTCATCATTCACAGTATATTTTACATGTCTAAATTCTATAGTTGAAAATGCAGTATCTGTTGTTCATTAAATTTGCTTGTTTATAAAATCAGCCATTCATTTTCATTCAAATTTTCAAGAACCAAAACAAATATCTGCTAATTCAGAAAATCCACACTTATTAAATTTATATTTACTGTTTATAAAACTTATACTATTACCAAAAGATTGATTTTTCAGAGCCTAAATATCCTATTACAAAGGGTGTTTGCACATTTTTAGAACGATGTCGATAAGGAATTAAAAAAAAAAACAAAAAAGAAAAGAAAAAGATAAAAGCAACTGTTTTTGATTAAACATTTTTGATAACAGCCTATTATTAGGAACGAGAAATATTGTTTGCTGCTTTTCATTTTATTCTTATTTTACAATATCACATGTAAACAAGCTACGGGATTGAAGAATATGTTTTACGATTTTTGGAGAGAAATATTCCTATTACATAATTAAAAAATCTTGCAAAATGCGTGGTGTTAAAATTCGTAGGTGTAAATTAAGCATTAATTGGGAAACAAAAAAACTGTCAGTCATTATTTCTACAGGGAAAGAAGACTCCAAACGAATAGATATGTACTATTTCTAATGTTTCTAAAATTAAATTGTTGGTAACAAAAGTAATTTCGCCGATGCAGAAATCAATTACAGAGTCTTTAAATACATCTGTAACAGAAATAAAAATAATAATTCAAGATTTACAATTTTTAAAAAAAGCAAAAAATCATAATGTTCTCAAGCTTTAGCCAAGACATGTGGCTCAATGCTGGACAGTTTGTAGAATCATGTATGAAAACCATTTAGAGGAGATAAATAGGAATACATTGCTATCCTCAATGAAGCATATATTTATCTAAATTACTGCAACAAAAAAGAATCTATTACTGAAAACAAAGAAAAGCAAATGTACAAAACTGGTTCCATCAATGTGTAGAAAGTTTCAATAACGGGTTTATGATTATTGTTGGATTCTCTTACAATGAGAAGCTAAAAATAAGGAGAGTGGGAACAAAGGTTCAAATCAAATCAATGCACTATTAAAAGAAAGTTTTATATCCAATATTTATAGAAGAACCTCTGTTTCTTTACCCCAATCAATTTCATAGAGTGAAATTTCATCAAGACAAAGCAATAAGTCATATTTTGAAAAGTACCTTTTCGTTCCTTAGAAAAATAAAGACATGATTTGGTCTCTTAAAAAAATCTCTTCCTAAGTGCAAACCCACCATGATTGATGGACTCTGGAAAGTAGTGAATGAGGAATGAAAATTAGTACCTCTGAAAATTTTATAAAAAGCTCTTCTATTATGTAAATCATAATGAAAACTTGTAGTCCAAATGTAAACACCCTCTGTAATTCCTACCAAGGCTGTTTGTAGTTTATCAGTTTAAAACAAAAATCACCTTCATATATTCAGAGAAGTTCTCAGAAAATTTCCTAAAATGCGCCCTAATATTATTGTTGCATGTTGTAAAGAAAAGGAATGGTTGTTGTAGCTGAAAGTGGTTGTTTTTCAAAGGGCAGTTAAAATGTTATTGATATGATTTCCCATTGTAGAGATCATATCAGTTGAGACAGAAAGTGCAACCTCTCTGCTAATATGACCTTTCTGCTAATGCAAAAAGGAATGTTAGATTTAGACAGATAATTAAAAGAAACATTTCTCAATTTATTGTATATGTAACTTTAACATCTCAAAAATGTTTTAATTCAAATATTTAAGCCTGAAAGTTGAAGATAAATTGTTAAAAGGTTATGAGAGTCTTGACAAGTTCAGTCAAAGAGAAGCTACATTTAAACTGGGAATTTCCCAAACAGGGTATGCAGTTTACTTAAAAAAAGAGCAAAAACTGATGAAAAATCAATGAAAGTTGTAAACATTTCGAGAAACTCCAAAAGAGGTGAAAAATCAAGATACATTGAAACTACACTTGTAAGAAAAAACTACACTTGTAGAAAGATTTCTCTTTATTAGACTAAAAATATCCATAATTTTAGAGTTGTTTCTGCTGCATTTGCTATTATGCTAGGAGAGAATTTTATTGCAACTGATAGATGGCTTACAAGATAGAAAAAGAGAATAACATTGCTCATAGTAATGAGAGGATCAGCAATCCTCTAATCATTCAATAAAAAATATCTTACCTAGATTCCCAAAGGAATACAAGTTGCTCAAATTTACAATACAGATAAAACATGCCATCTTTAGAGAATGTTACCAACCCAAAGATCAGTATTAAAGGGAAACAGCAGCTGGCTTTCAACACTAAAAAATTGAGTTATTGCTTGTTACTAAAAAAATTGAAATTGAGTTATTGCTGCTGCATACATATTGCAAGAAGATACCACCGGTAATTGGCAAAAGTAAGAAACTTCAATGTCTGAAAGAAGCGAATAATATTTTTGTCACTTACTATAAAAGCATGATCTCATGGATAACAACTAGCATTTTAACAATTAAAAAAAATTATGTAAAAACTGAAGATAGTTTTACTTTTGAAAATCTACATTGCACAGCCCACCAATAACAAAAAAGAGAGTATCTTTTAAAAAAAGATTAAACAAAACAATTTTATGAACATCTGGATATTTTGAACGATGCCAGCAATCAATATATTTATCAAATATCATGCATATTATAGTCCATGCATTAGAGACAATAATTCAAAACATGTTGAAAAGTGCTTTAGAAGTTGTGATTTTTATTTAGAGGAATCCTCAGAGAAATTGTAAATTATTGCCAATGTTGTGTACATCAATGATGAAAGTTGTGAAGATTCATGAATACATTGCAGCTGGCAGTAATATTGAGACAGCAATGTGAAAAAAAAACTGATTAAAATAATATGGAAAAAGTTAAAATAAGATGAGGCTGAAGCAGAAGCTGAAACTAACAATGAAAGTGATACAGAAGAAACTAAGGCTACACCATCCTCTATCCATTGTATAAAAGCACTCCAATCCTAGAAAAATCTCTTGAATTGAAAGGTAAGGATGAAATAAATCTAATAAAAGGTTTTATAAATTTAAAAATATGGCCGGAAACTGCTCATGAAAATATGGAGTGATCAGCTTCTTATAAAATTTTCATTAGCTATATAATTATAAAAACATTTTTGTAAAAATAAAAACATAAATTTCTGAATTTTATAAAAAGCTTAATATTAACATTGCTATTTAATTGATCTCTTAAGTTATTAATAATTAGCTTAGTCAATAATTATCAGCTTATTAGGCAAGCTTATTGCTGATGTTACGATTTTCAAAGTACAAATTACTGTTTACTAATCTCAGTCACACAATAAACTGAAATATGATTGCGGTGGATGTTATTTTAATAAACAGTGGGTAATACTGTTTACTTTCAAAGCAGAACTTAGCTATATTCTTACCATCTTGAAGATATTGTTTCAAAGTCCGAAAACACATTTCATTGTGAATATGTTTCGTAAATTCTTAATTGTTTTCGTGCCACCGCATTCATGCTTGACTCATCCATGTAAATGAAAAAATAGCTGCCTTTTACATCTTTCTTCATGGACAAACTTATATATTCTTTATTTCTGAGTCCTTGATAAAATATTCTGAAAGATATTTTCTCATCTCTTGAATAACCTTATGCTGAACAAACATGCAAAATTGGAATATCATTTATTTAATTATTTATTTCTTTTAACCTGAATTTAAACCTTTTCCTGAAATTTAGGTGCTTTAGTCCAAATGGAAACTGAATCCATTTTGTTGGTAAACTGAAAAATTTCTGCTGTTTGAAAATAAGGTTTAAATTTCCTATAAAGAATTTTTTATATCTCCATGATGCATTTTTAAGATTTTATTTTTTTCTAACAGACTTTAAGGAACTTTTGAATAAAAACTAGTGGCAGTGGTTGCTAACACTCAAATTGCTTCCATTAATAAAACTTCTGCTTATGAAAAGCTATTTTGAATAAAATATTTTGTTTGATTTTATACAATTTGCTGTTACCTGCTTGTTAAAGATAGAGTGATTGAGAGCAAGGAACTTTTTTTGTGCACTGCAGCTATTGTAAAGCAGTTTATTACAAAGAAATGTGTAATTGTTCTTGCACCCTCTTGCTCATCAAATTTGATACACGTAATCTACTCTTTCAACTAACAAAATAATATCTCATGTTAAAGAAAACTTTTGTGAGAGCCTTTTAGAAGTTTAGAAAACCATAATGATGGGTGGAAGTGTGTTCCAAAAGCTGTTCCAAAAGCTGACTTCTACAAAACAGTCCATAGTTTATGTGAGTAGGTCAAGAAATATTAAGCATTAGAAGAAATGTGCATAGAAAGCTAAATAAAATAAAAATTGTTTTCTTAAGTTTTTTAATTTTTATTTATTTGTTTATTTGTTTTATTTTATTATTATTATTTTAAAATTTAGTCCTAAAACTTTGAAAATACACTGTACATAGTTTAGATTTTTATGCAGATTTCCACACTGGGTTAAAATTGTGAAATAAAATCGGCATGCCAGAACAGCTATTACTTAACTTCTTCATGAATAATATTTATAAATTTGTTAAAAATGAATGGTGAAACAAATCTGTTGCATTTTGAAATTTTTATTACACATATATGAATGATTCATAAATTTTCTTTCCTCTCTTTCGATTCAAAAAATACCACAATAAATAAACTTTTATAAGGATGGTATAATAAATGCCATGTATTTGTTATTAAAAAATATTTCTATGCTTCTCATAATGCCTAGTTCTTTTATTATATGCCTTTATTAAAATAGACTGATAATATACCTTACTTCAAATTATTGATAATAAATAACTTGTATGTTTGAGTTTTACCTTTTTCTGATATAGACTATGCAGAATATGTGTTTTTGGGGCTTTTCATTTCTGAGATGCTTTTGAAAGTTTATGCCCTTGGACCACGCATTTATTTTGAATCTGCCTTTAATCGTTTTGACTGTGTTGTAAGTAATTTAATTTCTTTGACATTTTTTAAAGCTATTTTGTTTGTTAAATATTTGTCATCATATTGCACATCATCACATATTTCACTAATGAAACTATTAGGAAACTATAATTTTTACTGCAGAAGCAGACTTTACTTCGTAGATGAACATCTAATTTTTCTGATATATAAGTGGACAACATTAAATGATACTTTGGTAAAATTATACTTACTATGAAAGTACTGATTAGAAATTGTATGTATGTAAATGCATGCTAATGAGAAACCACTTGACTTAGAATGTGTGCCTCTGCTTTTGAAAAATGTTTGGCATAAATAAGAATGAGTATCAGAGTTTGATTATATATTCTGACTATGAATAAATTTACACTGATGAATGTAGAGTTGATTTCTTAGCAATGGTAATATTAATAATCAGAAAATTTGAGTTTTTTACAGGGTTATTATCAAATATCTCTATCTATCTATCTCTCTCTATATATATACACAGATAAAAAGAAATATTGAATACTAAAATTCATTAAAATCGAAAACAAGTTTTACTTATATTTGCACAATAGCTGCAAAGTAAGATAATAATAATTTATTTACTAAAGAAGTATTGATTATATTATCTCCTAATATAAATTTAGTAGAATGTGTCAAAATGAAGGAACACAGAAGTAGGAAGTTTAATTCTGGAAATGAATGTAAATCATGAAAAAAACTTTTTCAGGGGACTTGAATTTAAATCAGGAATAACAAAAATTCAAACTTTGAAAGAGAAATTTAATAAACCAAATAATTATTGTCATTGATTGGCCATTAGTTGACTTTTCAAGGGGAACAAACTGACTTCTGTTCAATGAACAATAATTAATAAATATGAAGGTGTTTTGTCTTTTACTCAAGTAAGAAGGATGATGCCAAACTGGCAAATTAAGTTAGGCCAAAATTGTAGTTCCATTAAGTAATTGGATTTTTAGAAAACTTGAGACACTAGAGCCAAATTAGAGTACCAAAGAACTCACTCTGAATGAAGCATTTTCGCTAATACAATAGATTCTTTAGAAATTTTGAGTGAATAGCCAAATTATATAGTAAAATTTACAAGATACTTGAGTAAATGTCCCCTGACACCCTCGCTTTTAGCCATGCTAATTCAAGACTGTTTTTATAAAAATAATAAACAGTAGTAATCTTAACTGGAATTATGAAATAGAACTCAAAGCAATTGGAATAAACATGAGAAACACAAGAAACATAATAAACTTTGCAAACACAAATTAAATAAAAGTTGAAAAATTGAAATATATATTATAAGAAATAATGATATGTAAAGTGTGAAATGTACATGAAATATAAAAGGCCAGAATATGAATTAATTAACTTGCATTCTTTCTAGTAGGATGTCGGTAATGTGTTTTCTTATGTTTCTTACTCTAGAAGAGGTGGTGTAGGCCATCTATCCAAAATTCCATTATCGCCAGTGGGAAGACTTTGAATTATTACAGGCGGTGAACCTTTGAGAACTTATTTTTGGTACATGAGAGGGACTTGGTATGTTTAGGGAGGGTTATTACAGAGTTCTTTTGTGAGTGAAAGTGTCTGTTAAAATTTTGAATATACTAACTAGTGAAGGGAAATTAATTAATTTCTTGCTAATTGTCATGGTGGAGCAAGGAAAGAAAGAAGAAAAATAGGAATTTTCACTGCCAACAAGCTATTTGGCAGACTACAGTATAAAGTCCGAAATCCAGACATCCATTTTCCGGACTTCAAAACCACAAACAATGTTTTTCTTTTAGGCTTTATGCATGCGCATTTGATTCCCTCCCCCCTCTTCACATAATAGAACATGTGGAGAGTCCCGATTCTTAATTTCACTTCAGCACTAAAAGAAATACCTTGTTATTGAAGAAACTATCATTTTAACATAAATGTGTACAATCAGTAATTTAGCTCCATTGCTGCATATCTGCTTGGCACACATCTCAAACCGAAACATTCCACATAGATACATCATTGATGTGACGCCAACCTGACGAATCATTATTTTTATAATTTCCTTTCATCATCAGCATGTTTATCGAAACATGACAACTTGAGTAATGACTCATGTAGCGATGCCTAAACAATTTTTTTATGTAAGGAATTGAATAATAAAGGAGTATGGTAACCTTTTATCTTGACATTATGCTTAACTATGATTACAGATTTAAGTTAAGTGGGCTAAAATATGTTGACTAGCAAAAATATACCAAAAATTTCTTTCCATGTGCCTAAAATAGATTTTGTTGATGATACTCATAGACTCAAAGATTACATTTAAGGCTGTTTGAATTAAGAATAACTTATTTGTTATTCTCATAAAACCAGAACCATCATCAGGGCTCGTTTGGCCGCACCGAGTCACAGATTTTAGGACCCACAGAGACTGCATCAGGCGGTAAGACATCTAGTGCTAGCCCTCAATAAGGCTTAAGTATATGTGGGAATTTATTTATGCAGAACTCTGATAAGCCTTAAGCATGTGTGAGAAACTGACATAAGTATAATAAATAACTAAATACAGTTCAGGCTTAATTGTCTCAGTGCGTGATAGAAGCAAGATAAAATTTAACAGAGCAACTTGTCATTAGTCGCCAGTCTCATGATGCATAGCCAAATATGTATGGTGAAGGATAGCTAAATTTGATAAAGATTTTCGCATGTTGCAAAACATAGGTGAAGTTTTCCAATTAACGAATTTTGTAAAGAAAATGTGGAGAAGCAATAATAAATGAAGATAACATAAAAGAAGATTTTCATTGTGATGACAATGCGTCTCAATCATCAATCAATTAATGAATGAAGAAATCTGTAGTTTGGTTCTAGATCCAGAAAATACTGCTACGGATAGTGAAGAAAGTGACAGGCATTAAGTTATTGAAAACGAGATAATTTCGATTGACAAGTTAGTCGGAATTCTCGAAACAGCAATTGCAGGACTTCAACAATGTAACTGAACAAGAGATTATGTGTGTCTACAGAATTAAAGAGAAAGTATTAGCACAAAAAACGAAGCAACTTAAACAACTTGCAATGAAAGAAATGTTTAATAAGGTAAACAAATAAATATTAAGCTTTTTTTTTTTTTTTTTTTTTTTTTTTTTTTTTTTTTTTTTTGTAAATTTTGATACCCTTTAGATCATAAATACTTCATTATTTCATAAATTACGATTTCATATATTAATTTTATAATTTCTACATGCCATCTTACTTGATTTAAACTGATGATCTAATATTCGGAAAAATCCCAAATCCGGAATCACAAAAGTCGAAAATGCTTCATTCAGAGTTAGTTCTTTGGTACTCTAATTTGGCTCTAGTGCCTCAAGTTTTCTAAAAATCCAATTACTTAGTGGAACTACAATTTTGGCCTAACTTAATTTGCCAGTTTGGCATCATCCTTCTTACTTGAGTAAAAGACGAAACACCTTCACATTTATTAATTATTGTTCATTGAACGGAAGTTGGTTCGTTCCCCTTGAAAAGTGAACTAATGGCCAATTAATGACGATAATTACTTGGTTTATTAAATTTCTCTTTCAAAGTTTGAATTTTTGTTATTCCTGATTTAAATTCAAGTCTCCTTAAAAAGTTTTTTTCATGATTTACATTCATTTCCAGAATTAAACTTCCTCCTACTTCTGTGTTCCTTCATTTTGACACATTCTACTAAATTTATATTAGGAGATAATATAATCAATATTTCTTTAGTATGTAAAATATATATATATATAAATAGGCTAAAAATTCAAATAATTTTTTTTTAAACCCATCCTGCACTGTAGCTGCAGGATTGACGTAGACTAAACTTAAAGCATTTAAATTAATATTTTAAGTGCTTAGATGACACTGGTACTTTTAGCAGCTTGCAGTTGCCATGGCTGAGGATAGATACGAGGGCCATCCAGGAAGTAGATTACGTTTCCGTCTGTGTCCGCTAGGGGCGGGGCTAGCGCGGCCATCTTGGGGTCAGAGCGTTGCGCAGCTCAGTCTGCATCTAGCCGTGCTAGTGAGAGGTTCGTGCTGTGCTCCGTTCAGATACTGTGACGGTTTGAAATGTCTGCGTTAATTGAAAAATCCCGCGAGGCGTGGGTGCGCTCAGTAATAAGGTTTCTGACTGCCAAAAAAACTGTGAACCGATAGAAATCTATCGGCAGCTTCGTGAAGTGTATGGGGACAAACATTATCACTGAAGGTGGAGTGCGTCAGTGGGTCATAAGATTTCAAAATGGCCGAACCAATGTTCACGACGAAGAGATCGAAGTGGGAGACCCCAGCCATAGTGACCGCCGAACTTCTCGAAAAAGTCGATGCTAAAGTCCGTGAAAATCGAAATTTCACAATAACGGAACTTTCTTTGAGTTTTCCACAAATTTCGCGAAGTTTGTTGCACGAAATCATCAGCGAAAAGCTTGGTTACCACAAGTTTTGTGCAAGATGGATTCCAAAAATCTTGACAGAGGACCACAAAAATCAGCGAATGGCTGCAGCGTTGAACTTTTGGACGCTTACCATAAGGATGGTGACTCTTTACTCGATCGCATCGTTACTGGTGTGACGAAACATGGGTGAAACATGTGAACTGTGAAACGAAATTGCAATCAATGCAGTGGGGGCACACAAAAGTTCTCCCCAAAAACCCAAGAAATGCATGCAAAACAATGTCGGCAAGGAAGATGATGGCGACTGTTTTTTGGGACAGAAAAGGTGTAATTTTGGTGGGGACTTCCTGGAAAGAGGCACTACAATAAACTCTCAAAGGTATTGCCAAAACTCTCCAAAAACTCAGAAGAGCAATTCAAAACAAGCGCAGAGGAATGTTGAGCTCTAAGATCTTGTTGATTCACGACAACGCCCGGCCCCCCCCACACGGCAAATGTCACTCGTAAAGTTCTTGAATCTTTTAAGTGGGAGTTGTTTTCTCATCCGCCGTACAGTCCCGACCTGGCACCGAGCGACTTCCACCTA